TCTATTTAAACTGCAGTGTCTCTGTATGCTGGTTTGAGTGTTCTCCAACACAACTCTCACAACGCTTCTCACAACGCTTCTCTGAACGCACTCGCTCTCCCAATGGGGAGCTTACCTAACAACATCAATGCTGCCATTTTAACTAAGTTTGGGAACCAGATTTTGGAGTGAGTTTGGATATCTCAACCAGGGTCATGGATGGTAAGACTGAAAGAAGGAAAATATTTGTGCTATAACAGAGAGGGAGAAGAAGCTAACAAGCCCACTGTGCACGTCTGTGATTAATGCCAGAATTATGGCTGCAGAAAGTTATAGAATAATGCAAGATCAAAAAAGGGAGTTGATGTCATTTTTTTTCGTTGTCTGCAAGGATACTGGAGATCTGTATGAGGCTTTTCTAAGAGCCCAAATGCCAGGTTTTTTTTACATTACTGTGGTTAGAACTTGCATAACTCTAACTGTTGACTGCTTAAAATCTTCAGTATTCAGATACATGAATGCTTTTTACTGTGTGTCGTCTGTGAAGGAAAGAAAAAATGTGTTAAAGTTTTATGGTAGCGCAAATGAGATCAAGATTCGTATTATTAGCAGTTGCAATAATATAAGTGGTAGCAGAAGCATTTATTAATACTAGAAATTATGATTAAAGCAGCATATAGATTGAAATAAACAAAAAGCTGTGCCATCATATTAACATACCAAAATAAGAACATGCCCTATCTCTCCACGCATGAATGTGCGTTCCCCCCCGCACATACCCCATCCCCACAGCCCTCGCATGCCCCTGCCCCCCACGCACACACAGTAGAGACCCAAAGACCAGCTGGCCAGCGGGAGGTGCACGCACATGGACAGTGGAGCTGAACGGTGGCGACAGCTCACATGTCCACAGAGAGGGCACTGCATGCAACCTCTGGCACATGCAACCTCTGGCACATGGGCATATAAAGTATGTAGCTCAGAAATGAAGTTCTCCGGTGTTCTCTGAGCTTGGCTGTTTGCTTGTTTCATTACCCAATTAGGTAAGCTCATCAATGCAAGTGAGCATAGGGTTTGCTTTCAGTCACTTGGCCTGCCAGTCTCTGAGTGTATGTGGTTATTTCCTTGGTAGTTCCATGGTATTGTTTTTTGCTTGTTTGTCTGGTTTTAATCCTTACTTATCTGGGTGTTAGCTGCTGATCTTTTTTTTTTTTGTTTCCTTCTTAGCTTTTTTTTTTACTTGCTTGTTTTGAATGGTGTGTAAACGTGGTTGTCTCTATGTGTCTATTGATGGCTGATTTGTCCGAACGCCAAGCTTCCAAGCATTCCCTAACATTTTTTGGATTTAGCTTGGTTTACAATTCTCAGAGTTTCCCATTTAAAATGATGGTGGTTGACTCTGTCCATGTATTGTCAGATTGAGGAGTTTTCATCTTGTCTTTGGACTGCTAGTTGGTGTTTATGAATTAGCTCTGCTAGTCTTCTGCCTATGTGTCCTATATTATAGCCCTTACACTATGCATTATAGATGATTCCTATTTTTTCTTCTTGGGTTACTGGTCCTTTGATTTAAAATGTTTGGGAGGCTGTAGTTGGTCTGTGTGCTACAGTGATAGCACGTGGTTCTAATAATCTACTGGTTGTTTTGGAGCTGTTTTTGATTTATGCCAGTGTTATCCTTTTCATAGCTTGCGTCGGTTGTGCTGTAGTGGGATGATTGGACAGCAACTTTTTCATAAAGTTGTGTGGATGCATATTTCGTTGGAACATTTATAGGTGGTCCATTTCCTTTTTCTGGTGTTGTGAGTTGCTGAAATGTACTGTATTTGTATTTGTCTGAACAGTGTTCTTGCACAATTTCTCTTGTGGGAGTTTGCTTTGATCACGGGGCACTCAATTAGTGTGTTGGTTTTTTGCTAGATATAGGACAGTGATGGCTAACGGTTTCTGCACCATGCCCAAACTGGAACATGCACATGTGCATATGCGCACGTGTACCATAGAGACGAAAAATCTGAAGACCAGCTGGCCAGTGTGCACCTGGTCTTGGGATTTCCAGCATGCACATGCGCACCGGCCAGTTGGTCTTCGCACACACCAGAGTGCCAGAAACCCAAAGACAAAGTAGCCGGCGTGTGTATGCGCACTTGCCAACTGGTATTCTGACTTACAGCACTATGGCGCGTGCAAAGACCAACTGGCTAGTGCACATGCATGTGTGGGAAACCAGAAGTGATGGCGCATGTGCCCATGGAGAGGGCTCTGGATGCCATCTCTGGCAGGCGTGCCATAGGTTCGCCAGCACAGATGTATGACATCTAGGTTGCCTTCAAAGAGAGGGCTATGGTGAAGCAATGGTTAGAATGCAGTATTGCAGGCTAATTTTGCCAACTGCCATAGGTTCGATCCTCACTGGTTCAAGGTTGACTCATCCTTCCATCCTTCCGAGGTGGATAAAATGAGGACCCAGATTGTTGGGGGCAATAGGCTGACTCTGTAAAACCGCTTAGAGAGGCCTGTAAAGCACTGTGAAGCGGTAGATAAGTCTAAGTGCTATTGCTATAAAGTGACTGCATCTGAAATCAAAGTCTTTTCTAGCTATTACACTATCAAATCATAAACCTATCTGGACTGTATAAATCTGAAAAAAGAAGTTAGAATCTATGCTCCCGTTTTTGTATTTTTCTTTTTCCTTTCCTTTTTTTTCACATTTACTTTACTACATTTCCTTTGTATGTGTTATGTGTATAAAATCCTTCAATGGACTGAAGAAATCTTGATAATTAGAAAGGGATAGAACAGTGTTTCTCAACCTTGGCAAATTGAAGATGTCTGGACTTCAACTCCCAGAATTCCCCAGCCAGCGAATGCTGGGAGTTGAAGTCCAGACATCTTCAAGTTGCCAAGGTTGAGAAACACTGGGCTAGAATGTTCTGTATTTCCCTGCTGCCATCGTGTGGTTGTTTGGAGTTTAGCAGTCAAAGTAAGTGGCCCTAGCCGTGGGTGTTAGGCCTGTCAGAGCTTAAGAAAGTTCTAATAGGTTCTAATATTTCTTCCGCATCAGATAGCAGTGAGGCGAGGATCATTCCCAGATTACAAAATATCATTATCCACAATCAACAAACTCCCTACCTATAGATTTCCTAGATGAAGCCTTAGTTGGTTATCTTCTATTTATCAGCAGATATTTAAGATCCAGTCAGAATGTCAGAAGGAGGGGGGTGGTTTTATTTATTTATTTTCTTTATTTTTCTGGTAAAGGTTAAGGAAAACCTAGCAGGATGATCATTCAAAGTTACAATGGCATTGAAAAAGGTGACTTATGACTGGTCCTCGCACTTACAACAGTCTCAGCATTACCACAGTCATGTGATTAAAATTCAGGGGACTGGTAACTAGCATTT